ATGCACAACTGAAAAATGATCAAATCTGCATAAAAAACAAACAAAATGTGGTATGGTTGTTGATGGTATGGCTGACTGAGGATTTTTCCAAAGTGCCGATCTACTGGGATTTTTACACACAACCGTCTCTAAAGTTTCCAGAGAATGGTTCAAAACAGGAAAAAGTGAGCAGTGGCTCATGGTGAAAATGCTTTATTGATGGCAGAGTTCAGAGAAAAATCACCATATTCGGTCAAGTTGATGGAAAGGCAACAGTAAAACAAATAACCGGTTAAAAGAACGGGCTTAGAGGGCCCCTAATGGATCACAGCATCAGATGAACACACCAGGTGCCACTCATGTCACATAAAGACAGAAAGAAAGTGAGATGAAAGGATGAGAATTTGGCATAAATACTTAGTGTGCATAAGTCCTGATGTTAGGGAAGGGTTTAGGGTATTTTTGAGCCCCTTAGTAATAGAGTATAATTATAATGTTGAAGTCTTCAAAAGCATTGTTGCTGACTCTGTCCACTGTAAACATCTTATAATGGCAATGCTCAGTACTTCACAGCTCATATCATTACAGTCTGGTCTCTCAGTTCACTGTACTTAAATGGTACTTCTGGGATGTGGTGGAAGCTAGGAATCAAATCAGTAAGGGGCTGCCCACAAATGTGCAGAAACTGTAATAATATTATGTCGTTTTCAGCCAGATCTCTGAGGGTTGTATCCTGCACTTGCACAATGAATAATTAAGGCAGAAACCAACACAGCTATAGCACAATGTAACTAAGAAAGGATCTGACTTCTCCAGTGCCGCCATAATTCCTTGTTATTGACCCCACACTGACCCATTATGTTCTCTTTCTGCGTTTGTATCTTAGCTCTGTCTTCGCCTCTCTTTGTAGTGCATTTTGTATGTGATTTCAATTTACATTCCAGTTTATTGTTCATTTGAATTATTATTGTTACTACATTAGCAAATTGCATTACGAAGCTGGGTAAAACCCATAACCTTTGGTAGAGTTAATAATTTCAAATAGCTCTCGCTAAACAGCTCTGGTCCATCAGCCTGTTCCACATCCTTATTTCTTCATTTCACACAACATGGATATGGCCCTACAAGTCTGACAGCTGGTGGCTTTCAGCTTCTAAAATATGTTGTAAAGAGTGGTTTTAGAAAAACATCAGGATGTTGCTCTTTAATCCAAGGTGACTGACTGTTCTACACTTGGAGTAGCTCAGTAGTAAATTCAACGGGTCCAGGTGCCATTTGACATCATGGAATCTAACACTAACAAAAGCAACTAAAAGTTTAGAAGTGCTCGGACCTTGGCTTAGATTGTTTTAAATCAGAATTGGATGTTTTTAATAATACTCACAATGATGTCTAAATGAACAAAAGCACAGTGGCCATAGTAATTAACTTATTTTCTTCAAATTTGATTGACTAAATAATCATATTTTTATTTTTATTTGGAATGTCTATAAAATTGTCAAGCAATTTACATACATATTTTCCTCTTCGACTTTGAATGTGAATGATATAATAAAGATATATTACTTCTCATTCCATTTCTGGTGCAATGACAGAGAAATGCAAATGTTTCCTGAGCTGCACCTCTTTACTAGTTCTTTATTTGTCTTTTCCGTCTCTAACTTTGCGTCTACATACACATTGCCTCACTGACGGCAGCACATGCACTAACTCAACCGATGTCTCTTTGCCAGAGGCACTGTACATCTTGTCTGTGCACACGCTATATATATTTTACATTCTGACAATGTGAGCAAAGTGATCATTATTCAAAATACAGTTCCACCTCCGACCAAGAGAACAAGCAATCACTGACGCAATTTCCTACAGCTTTGAAATGCTCTAGGGGAATGAACTTGTGTAGTATGTGTTATGCAGAGTATGTTTTGTGTAATGATTATTCCAGCGTTGCTGAAAATAAAAGTTTTATTAAAAGTTGCATTTGTTTCTAACAACGCGGACTGTAAATTTAAAGTCTACATCTGTATGTGTGTGTGTCTATGTTTGTATCCAAGAGCAAGCGAGTCACAGAGACAGAGAGAATTGGAGGAAACAAATGGGAAAGACAGCCACTCTTAGTATGGGCAGGTAAGGTCAACAGTTTGGTATGTAATTAGACTTTGCGCCTTTCGTACAAATGATTGTTTTGCATCTGCAGAGTCATGCAATCAAGCCCTTTTTCGTTGTGTGTTTTTTTAAACACACACTCTCATACACATCCATCGTCGAGTTGCACATACACACAAATAGAAGAAAACAAGGCTTAGACACAGGCGCTGTTTTATTCATGCTGATGTGATGCCAGTGGACATGCACCCGTGAGGAACACTGCTTTTCTCACCTCACACACTTGCACACAAGTACACACAACACACACAACCCCTCCACAGTCACCTCAGTTCATTTCATTTCATCTAGCTATGTACGCTCACACAGATGTATGCTCACAGAGAGATCCTGATGCAAAATGTTTCACTGGGGTTCAACCCAGGGAGCCAGATGGGTCGAAGGTGGACTGCACCTCCTGCTCAAGTTTTATGAGCGTGCTGTTTGGAAAGTATTTTTCACTCTTTGTTAATGTGTATATTTGGTGTTAGTATGGTCATATATTTTAAGGACTGCTTATATGTACATACTGTGTATGTAAAATATGTCTTTATAAAAGATTAAAGCAATCCTCCTTTAAGTACACAAATTACTAATGCACGCAAAGCCTAGCATGCACAATGGTTTCATCCTCTTCAATTCTTTCTAATGTAGGTTAATATATACCCATTACTTATTTATATTCACAGTACATGTGATCATTCTTGTGCTAGTTTTGAGAACTTTATTTTTATAGTACAATGTAGATATAATATAATAATAATATAGTTTGCCATTTACATGAGATGCATTACTGTAGCTGGAGAGTTAGCCTCGCTAAATGCAGGTATTATAATTAAACTGAAACAGTTTAACCTCCTAGGACCTAACTCCACATATGTGGACGTCACAATTTGAGGTCATTATACTGCTGCTGTTCTATCAAAATTTTAAACTAATATCCTCATATGAGGCTCTCATTTTTCTTAGGAAAAAAAAGACAAAAAAGAAAAATCTGTTAATTCTTTGTTTTTACATTCATCGGGTCCCAATCAGCCCAAATATCAAAGAGAAATTAAAAATGCATGCCGTGGAAGAGTGCGGGTCTTAGGAGGTTAAGTACAGAGTACAGATTTTTCTATTTTAATCGCTCCATAGAACTTAACTGATGATATGAAGTCAGAAAGCAGATTCTTTATATAAAGTTGCCCCTAATCATCAAAACCATTTTAAAGGGCAAAATTACATGTACTGAATCTCTTTCTCCTTCTTTGTCACATACAAACCAAGATATATACGTGTATTTACAGAAATAGTGAGGAAAGACCACGCTCTAGGCTCCTTTGGACTCAAAAGTGGGTGGGCAGAGGCATAAGCTAATCGCTAGGCTTTTGCCCATCAAGCTGGGATTCCAGTCCTGTCTGAACTATTAACATCTTTTTTTTCCTTTTTGTTTTCAATGTTTCCTTATTTAGGATAAGGCACAAAAAACTACTTGTTTCAGATTACAGAATACATGGCCCAAAATGTATTTTGTAACGTATTCCTTTGCATTACTCAATGAGAGTAACTTATTCTGAATACTTTAGATGGTTACACTGGATTGGTTTAAGAAATGGTAACTGTTTTGGTTAAAATACATCCTTTTGCAGGTAAAACAGAGTTCATGTACTAAACTCCCTGTAAAACCAGAACACCAGTGGCATTGTAGCTGAGATGGCTCAGAAAACCACCTCACTTCACATGTTATTGCTTGTAAAATGACAAGTGTGACCACGACCTTGAGCTTCAGCACAATTTTAGTGAAGAGCCATTAGGTAATCCTTCTCTATAGGCTTAATAACATTTTGAACAATACTGTAGGAAGAGTAATATTTATTGTGAAATGTGCAGGTGGAAACACGGTCATCAGTTGCTCATTCAAATGAGATAAAAATGATACTAAAGGGTGCTAAAGTGTGTGTGTAACAAGTTTGGAGTTGGCTTAAATGTTTCACAGAGTGAACAAAGGAAAGTATGGCTTTAGTTAATTCCAGTGTAAACAGAGTAAATTAAGAGATTATGTGACTAACCACAACAAACAAAAGAATGACACGATAAACATAAGTAATGACTCACTGGTGATTCATATTATTTATGCTACCGCGTACAGGGCAACTGATGGTAATGATAAAATGTGTCCATGTTGCCTGAAGTGTTTTCAGTCACCAGCATGTTTTGCCTGAAAGTGCTGCAGTGAAAATAGTCCCTACATGTAAACAAAGTTGAATTTTCCCAGCTTTGAGGAGGTGTTCATGCATTATAACAACATCATCATCTTCACATGACCTTAGGCTCTCTTATATTTGTCTTGGGAAAATAGCAAATAAAGACAGAAAAATCTAGAGTTTGAACACTGAGAATCCAGCAAGACAGGAAAGATCTGAAAATGTGGAAATTCTTGATGACAGTCGGCTGATCAATGCTCTTTGATTATACTACTGCAATCAGTGATAGACTCTGACTAACCAAAGGACACATGGGTGCTACTTTCATAAATATAGCATGGTCTTATCAGCTTTAGTTTTATCCATTTCATACATAAAATACAGGAATTTTATGTATTAGATTTTTTTTAAATGCCAGTTTTAATGAATTACATAAATGCATTTTAATAGATAATATATCAAACACAAGTTTACATCAAAACATTCATCACACTAAACGAGAGTAGCCCATATGGTTGCTAAAACTATGTTTTAGAATGACAAGAGACATTGCTGTCAAGGTATCATTGAGCAAGAGAGGTGGAACGTACCTGCTCGCTCAGTGAAGGTCACAGCGGATCACCAAGAACATATACTGCATGTATAAATGCACATTTTAATAAATGCCCAGTGGGAGATCTTGGAGCTTACCTGGGGTCGTGGATGTCCTTTAACAATACACTGAAGCACTAGTGTGTCTCCTTCTTTGATGGTGTAGATTCTCTCACTCATGTTATCATCTTTGACGTTACATGCTGCGCCCGAGTGCACAATCTGGGCGTTGGCAGGAGCTGTGAAAGAAGGCATGGACACACACACACATACACCACAACCAAGCATGTAGTCATGCAGGCACACACATATACACACAGACAAACACAAAGGAAGAGAAAACCACATCACATATTTAGTAACATTTCAGCAGCAGAATTAAAGGTCATAGTCTTGTGGGTGTATGTGTAACACTAGTGCTAGTATTGATGACTCAGATAAATAAATATATCACATTACTCCTTTATCTGCATGATCTGAGTTGTCTTTTTTTTCTGTACTTGTAGCAGTGTCATGTGGATAAGTGTCTGAGGGAATGCGGACATTTATTGGGAAACTGAAACGTTGGTCACCTTTAGAAGTTCAAAAGGTTGAATCTTCACTCTGGACCAATGTTTTTGTCTTTTACAGATTTAGTTGTGCGGTAATGGAAGTTTTATATTTTAGACGTTACAAAATAGGTTTAATATAGTTGGTAGTTGTAACCTGTGTCAGTCTGCATTATACTATCATGTGGAAAAATATCAAATGGACTCGTATGGCTTGTTTAGAAGGGTTGACAAGATGAAGCCTTGTTTCTCTAAAAAGAACATGACAGCACAACTTAGGTTTGCAAAGTTGTATCTGAGCAAACCATAAAACCCCTGGACAAATTTCCCTTAGACAAACAAGACCAAAGTGGAAACGTCTGGCCATAATGCACAGCACCACATTTAGTGAAAACCAAAAAACAGCATTTCAGTAGGTGATGATTTAGACTTGCAATCACTGACTGAACCATGAACTCCTCTGTATACCAAAGTATTCTAGGCTGTGATGTGAGGCCAGCTCAAGCATACCAGTAAATCTCCAATGGAATAGCTGAGAAAGAAAAAGAATCAAGGTGTTGCAATAGCCCAGTTAAAGTCCTAACCAAGTTCAACCCAACTGAAATATTATGGTGAGACTTTAAGAGAGTTATGTATAAATGAAAGTCTGCAAATCTCAATAAACAGAAGCAAACTTTTTTATGAAGAGGGTTTGAATATTTTTGTTGTAGAAAATATCAACAGCTTATTAAATTGTCAGACTTTTTTCTTCAGTCCAGATGTTTGATCTTCTGGTCTAAATTGGATCCAAATGGAACAAGTGGTCTATGGCCCAAATCATGACCAAAGATACAACTAATTCCAATTTCAGTTGTTGATTTTGATCTGAAAAAGTCTAAGGCTGGTTCATTATTGATTCCCCCCCCCCCACCCCCCCAAAAAAATAAATAAATAAATAAATCTATGTGTACAGTATTCATAAGAAAAAATGAAAACAAGATTATCTGTCCTGTTATAATAATCAACAAACTCCCACATCTCAATAAAACATGGAGTAGAAAGCAGTTTGTGGCATACTCTGAAGCAATAATGTATGACAGATGCATGATGGGAACTCTTTGCGGTGACAACATCTGCACAGCACTGACCCATGTGGAGGCTGGCTCGCGTGCAAATAGACTCAGATGGCTTCACCTCCCTTATGATGAGGTAAGACAGGAGGGGGGTGGGAAGAAATGGAGACAGAGCGAGAGAATCAGCGGGTGAGGAGGAAAAGGCCAGAGAGGAGTGTGAAACCCCAGAGAGAAACATGGGGGACGGGGCAGCACAATGATGTGATTAGCATCGATTCACAGGGAGAACAAATCTTCACTGTGCTGTACAACTGTTATCATTGAACGGACAGGAAGAAAGTGGGCGGCCTGTTCACCTTAAACTTCAACTCGATCAGACATAACAACAGCTGGCGTGATCCACAGCCAGAAATCAAGTTCAAAATAAAAGAAGGTTCAAAATCTGACTCTCTATGTTCCCGCTCATGCTAATAGCTCAAGGTGTGACAGCACAGCGAGTGTAACTTTCTGCTTATATTTGTAATTTTTTAATGATATTTTCATTTATGGGATATTTTTTTTAATCCCCCCCAAAAAGAAGTAAAATTGATGAAAGAGAAGACTGTAGGTCAAACTGACTCCCAGTTGCAAAGACGTGCTTAATAAAATCTGTGATTTTGGCTTTTGGCTGTAGCTTTCTAAACCACATCGGTACTGTCAGTGACCAGACCTCTGCGCCCACAAAAAGCAATCTGTGAATCTTGTTGTTTGGCTATCATCATTTTGTTCTTATTTTCTGAAGATTTATATTTTAGAAAAGAAAAGAGGAAACGAGAGCATTTGTGGTATGAGCGCAGTTACTCATTTCGTGTACGTATTACAGTAAGCACATGCTGGCTGTGTGCACCAAAGGAATGTGTGTTTGTGTGTTTGTGATTGTAAACGAAACTGTGTGCTTGAGGAGCTCATCAAAAAAGCAGTCGATCATTTACTGCTTCAGTCTTTTCATTATTGTACTGAAAAAAAAAATCATCCCAAAACCATTTCTTCTCTAACTTCTCCCGACTTTGTGCTAAAAGAACAAAAAAGCACTTTTTAAACATATTAAAAAGTTTGAAATGTAAGCCAGATTTAAATGCAGTGCTCCTTTTTCTTGGTTATGTTGAAATTCATTTAAATGATTTAACAAACGCAGGTCTTTTCAGCACTCAAGCTGTCTCTAGTTCATACACCGAACCACATTTAGACAAGGGAGCCGCTCAGTATAAATGCAGGCTTTATGCAGGAGAGTAACCAGATCACGTGGAGCAGTTGAGGGTTAAATGCCTTGCTGAAGGGCACACTAATAGTAGTTTCAATGGGAGGGGAGATCATGTCTAATTTATCTGCTATTTTCTAACATTTTCGCTGTTAGGTTACTGTTCAGTAAAGTGGATTCTCCAGTGACAAGTATGCTGTAACCTTTAAGCTTTAACATCCCGGCGTGAATCTCTCCTGATCAATCAATTAAAATGTAACCCATAAAAGGATAAAAACCTAAAAATTACTATGTGGAGTAACAGAGCCGGGTTCCAGATGTGTGCTGCACTATCGTGAAAAGATGTCGGGCTGATATAAATGGTGAATAATTATCTCCTTACAGCTTATTGGCGTGTCTGCATTAGTTTGCCTCTCTGGAGAGGGAGGGAGGTCGGACAGAGCGGCTCCTCTGTCTGTTCTAGCCTCCGGCAGCTTGGCTGCTTCAACTGTCTGATCGACTAAAGAAAGGGAGGCTGCGAAAGAGGAGGAGGAGAGAGATGCAGAGAGGGTGAGCAAAAAAAAAAGAAGGAAGAAAATAAAACAGGCAAGAGGAGGAAGACAGAAAAAACAGAAACTTACAGAAGGGAGGAAAGCATAAAAGGAAATGGAGAAGGATTCAAGTGTGGGGAAAAATAACATTGCATAGATTTAGAAAACAGGTAGGCAGAGAACCTAAATGAATAAAACTGAAAATGGAAAGCAGGGACTAAGAGACAAATTACTATATCTATATATTTAAAACTAAAAAAAAAAATTAAGCGGAAAGGAAACTTAGGAAGATACAGAACAAACAGGAAAAATAGGAATAATCATAACTGTAAACTGCAGACCAAAGCAGGTGAAAGCCAGAGGAGAGAAGGACTGAGGGGAAGAGAGGCTGGTTTGAGGGAGACTCCTAGCCTAATACAGACAAAAACAAAACCAAGAAATGATGAAAATAAAGCAAGAGGGCTCAGGATGCATGACTATAGATACACCTCCTCTCTAGTTACACTCTAACAAGAAGAAAAACCCAACTACAACTAACTAACCCAACAACCATGAGAAAATCATTATGTAAGATAAACATAATTTTACCTGCCTGTAATTTTCCACAATCCTACATCTGGATGACAACTATTACAGTTTGATATACCCTATAAAATGTCCATTTACTGAATATACATTTCACATACAAAAAACAAAGACCATCACACAGGCGTTCATGTTTTCTGATCAACATAGCATAAAGAAGCAAGATTGTCTCTTTGTTTCAGTTAGTACGGAAAGAGATCATCAGTCATGGAGAGCTGGCGCTTTGACAGTAAACTATCCGAGTCTGATGATTCATCGATCAAAACTGTTCTGGTGGAAACCGATTGAAGGTGTTGTCCATGCATTATTGGAAACTTTTCTGAGACGTTCAATGCACATTAGTTGTAAGTGAAATATAACTATCGGCAAATGCCCTGTCTGATTAATTGATTTGTCACTGCCTGCCATGTTTGTTTTTGTTGAGGGGACAGGACATATCTCACCAAAACTAATGATGAGACAGGAGAGCTGGTGTCAAACTGCACTGACAGCTTGACAGAGTGCTGAGCAGCATGTGTGTGATTGTGGTCGAAAGAGTGACTGAGTGTGCCCGCTCTGGTGAAATGTGAGTGTGCATACACGCATGTGTAAGTGTCTGTGTGTGTTTTCATGTACATTATACTGTATCTTGCCAGAGGAATCCCAAGGAAGGTGATGAATCCTGTCGAACACGAAGCCACGCCGAGCATGATTGATATGCGTAGTTACTTTATGGGAGCCTCTCATGCATACAGATGAGCCCTGACTCAATTCACTTCATTCACAAGAGACCATTCAATGCTGTGGCCTTTCCTCTGCTATCACAACATAGGATTTGAAAATAAGGAAAGGAAAGGAAAGGAAAGGAAAGGAAAGGAAAGGAAAGGAAAGGAAAGGAAAGGAAAGGAAAGGAAAGGAAAGGTTGACGAGCAGAAGGAGATAAGAGAGTGGGGGCCTGAGAGAAAAGTCACAGAATTTATTGATTAACTGCAATTGAGGGAAGTGTTCATTTGACCCACAGAAGCACTAATCACACACACACACAGTCTTCCACACACAGAAAAAACAGCTTTATGGCCAAAAGTCTGTGTGATTCCCATTGCCTCAGTATTTTATCAGGATTTTTCTGTGCAGACAGGATGGAGGAAGATCAAATGGTTGATGTCATGACCCCATCCTTTTCATTTTGGCTCGATTGGAGCTCTAGATATCAAAACGCATCAGGCACATTGATTTAACTTTTGACCTGACCATTAAATGGCAGTTATAAATGAAAGGACTAACCTTCACTAACCTTTTCATTCTTTC